TTACCCTACTCTCAATGGCAGGGTAATAACATGAGAGCAGACCCACCAAGGCTGGAGACTGAACAGTTCTGGAAGAGTATATGTCAAGGTTGCTCGGTTTCACCTGCCCTCTCTCCTCCACACACCTGCCGGCTATCCTCATTACCACCACCTGTTGTCACTCCTGCAAAACCAGATCTCCTATATTTACCTCACCTTCTTACCTGCCCACTGCCAGTTCATTCTCGTGCCCTCACAGACATCTAGCGCCACTCACGTTAATCCAGAGACTGTTTCTATTTTGCCTTGTTCTTTTGTTTTTTTTCTCTCTGTGACTGTTTTCAGTTTGCCTTCGTTGCCAACTAGCCTTCTCCTCTCCCGTTCCTGCCTTCAGCCCTCCTGCTTGGACACATACTCCCACACGAAACATCTACACCCATTCTAGTCACTATATTTATGTCACGTTATAGCAATCCTTGCCTTGTACAACACTAAATAAACACTGCTTATGGTGAAGTCAGCCCTCTGAGTCCATTTCTCTGTCACACCACCTCACGTGGTGTGCAATTATAACAGTATATAGGAGAAGGAGACATCACACAACAATGCCCAGCGGCTGGTGGACCTAAGAGCAGACCACAGCAACCTCCCTGCGCAAGACCCAGTAATCATCACAATGGCAGACATTCAAAAGAGGGTCTCAAGTATGAAGAGCTGGACAGCACCAGGCCCTGACATGATCCATGCCTACTGGTTAAAGAAGCTAACTTCACTCCATGAGTGCCTGGCTGGACAAATGAACCAGCCACTAATGGGTGGGACCCACCGTGATTGGTTGACTGAAGGCCGGACAGTCCTGATCCTGAAGGGACCTCAGAACGGAGCAGTACCAGGCAGCTACCACCCAATAACCTGCCTCTGCACAACATGGAAGCTCCTGTCAGGCATCATAGCAGCTAAGATGAGCAGACACATGGCTCAATATATGAGCAGCGCCCAGAAAGGAATTGGTAGTAACACCAGAGGAGCAAAGCACCAGCTACTGGTTCATAAAGTAGTCACTTGAGACATGCAAGACCAGACATACCAACCTGTGCACTGCCTGGATTGACTACAAGAAAGCCTATGACTCAATGCCTCACACATGGATTCTGGAATGCTTGGAACTGTACAACATCGACAGGACTCTAAGAGCCTTCATCAAGAACTCAATAGGAATGTGGAAAACAACCCTAGAGGCCAACTTCAAGCCAATTGCACAAGTCAACATCAAGTGCAGTATCTACCAAGGAGATACTCTGTCCCTGCTGCTGTTCTGCATAGGCCTGAACCCCCTCAGCCAGATCATCACCAAGAGTGGTTACGGATACTGAGTGGAATGGAACAACCATCAGCCACCTCCTCTACATGGATGACATCAAGCTGTATGCCAGGAGTGAACGAGACATCGACTCACTGATCCACACCACTAGGATCTACAGCCAGGACA